TAGAGTCTGTAGAGTCAAATAATTTTGATGAAATGTCACAAATTTAAGATAAGATTTGAGTCATTTTTTGAACCCAACAGCAGGCCACAGATGAGCAGTTCAAGGACCATCAAACCAACAAGCTTTCTCTATTTACAGTCTCTGGCTCTTATAAATAGCGTCACTTTGGTGATTTTCCAAAGGTAGCATAACTTTAAACCCGCCGGTGAGTTCTGAGGGTCAAAAAGTTACACTAATAATATATTTATAGCTTTCCTTTTCCATGTATAACTCAAAGTTAATATCATATTTGTTCAAATTCCTCATCATGTTTGTTTTTCCTCACCTCAGCCTTCCCCGTTAATATAAGCTGGTAGCAGCGTGATAACACTGAAATAAAATAAATATTTATATCAATTATTATCCCAGCTGCAGGGTTCAAGGTCCTGCTGTGTGCAGCTCTACAGAGGAAAGGGAAGCTTTACTTATTCATGACGTACATCCAGGCTCTCTCTAGATGTAGGACTGCAACTAGCAACTCTGCACTCAATTACCTGTTTTTTTTGGCTTCTGCCAGCAGTTTTCTTTTTGACTCTCTTCTATATTAAAACTCAGGTATTCCACTCTGCCCTCCTCCCCTCCCCTCTCCTGCTGAATCATGCAGTAGTAACACTGAAACAGTTGGGAACTCTCCCAGTGGGACTTACCCAGAGCTCCCTGACAGATGTCTGTGCGAGTAGCTCCATCTACGATGAACTCAGGCCGTTTGCAGAACTCCTGTCACACACACATAAACAAACAGAACAAATTAGCACTTCTCTTGCCTTTCGACACACATTTTGTTCCATTTGCTTTCATACTGACTGTCTGTGCTGGCTGTAGTCCAAAGGGCATATTCCATAGAGATGACACACACTACATACTACTTTGTCATAATATTGTGACTTCAACTTTGACTTTCAAGTGAGAGATTATGATGTGTGTGATGGATCTCCCGCCATGCAGAGGACTGCGGGTCAGATACTGCAAAACGTGACTGGATGTAGTCGGGCAAATGAGTCATTTTGGCAAACTGTACCTGACATGCTATAGATTGGGACATTCTAAATGTTTTTCTGTCATTAGAACAAACCATACGTCTCAATTTTTTAGATTTATATGATTTTGAACCCCAAAACCTGCTGGTGGGTTTAAAGTATGTGGCATCTTTTTAAAAAACAATGCAAAATTACACTTTTTATCACTGCCAAAACCTGGAAAAACCAAAAGAATCACAACATCTTCAACTTTTGAACACCCTTGAACGACTCATTCTAACAGAATCTAACCTTAAAATTGTGATATGTCATTAAAATCATTTTATTCTCCACGTCTCAATTTAAAAAATTGCAGAAACTAAATATTTTTGCTCTGACCTGATTCTGTAAAAAAAAAATAAATAAATAAATTAAATACACGCTCTTGCCATAAGCAGGAAACTATTCAGGCCTCAACTTTTTAAACTGTTATTTTACAGATTTTTTTTTTTACCATATTGTAAATTACAGAAAATATTACGTAAATTTACAGAAAAAAGTATGAATTTACATGTTTACTAGAAAAAAAAGTCCATGAGACACACTTTCTAAACAGTATTTTCCTGCACTGTATTTAAATGATGCAAAATATTGTTATTTGACAACTTCTCGCTGTTATTTTCACAGTTTTTGAACATTACAGCATCCCACTGTTTTTTAACATATTGTTTTCTGGCACCCTTGCTGCTAATTTTCACTTTTTGATTTACAGAATTTCATTTTTACAGTGTAGACACAGAAGCTCACTCTGTTCTGAACAATGAAATTAACCTAAATTTTAAAAATGTATTCCACTTTTTTCAAAGAAAAGTCAGTGTAATTTGACTCTATTGATTGTTTTTTTGAAGACAGATGACTAAACAGCATTATTTTGATAATCAATTAATTGCAAAAATACTTTTTGAGCTAAAATTCAAAGTAGTCACTGGTCCCCAAATGTGAAAATGTTCCAAAATGAAAAAAATCCAGTGTTTCTCGTTCATGTCCCGTTTCTCATGACTTCTTGCTTTACAAACGATCTTCTCCTCAGCATGTTGAGCGTGAGAAACCCCACATGAAGCTATAAAAAGAAATCTTCCATTTCTCCCCATGCCCCACAAACACGAGCCATCAGGCACATGGTTGAATTCACTGAAACACTGAGCATCACACACGGGCCCAAACTCTCTTTTTCAGAATCAGCACTGATTTTTTTGGGAGAAGAAACGTGCACACCATGACCCAGCGTTAACATTACAGCTCCCGTGTGGTGCAGGCGAGCCATGCATTAAGAAGCAATTTTCGGAGAGTCAAGACCCTACGAAGCATTAGAGCCGACACACACACACACACACACACAGGTAACACATGCACACGTGGTGGTCTACACACTCAGATGGAAGCTGCAGGAGGAGCCGAGGGGCTGCAGTCACGATCACGACCCGGAGAGCTTTTAAGATCACGACTTGTCTGCGATTAAAGGAGTGACTGCAGCGATCCGTCACGGTATGTGCAAACTGAACAGTAATGAGAGCGTGCTGCCTTCAGGGCTGCTATGATCAAGACGGTTCCGCTTTGTTCTCTGGTGTCATATTCAGCTACAGGGAGCATCCTGGTGTAATTATAATGGAGTGAGCAGTGATGAGAGAGAGAAAGAGACGCATGGACAGGACCACTGAAAAGGAATCTGACAAGAAGTGAAGAAGAAGCTGGGGGAGGAGAAAGACACGATGCACCTTCTATCTCTTGCAAACTGCCTCAACCGGACCAACGAGACCTCCTAATTGGTGTTGCTTCAACATTAAGTCGACCAATCACCGTTGTCCGAAAGTTTAGTTGCCAAGCAACAGATGAAAATCAAGTCTGTGGGGAAAGGTGCTTAAAAATATTATACCAGGTAATAAAAAAGATGAAATAGTTCCCTGCAGAAAGGCTATAATCTGCTCATGCAGCAAGTCAGACACGCAGAAAGTTTGAAAGAAACTTTTCTGCAGATTCTTGCTCATGTCCTGAGAATCACATCGAGTTCATCATGACGGACAGTTCAAACGTAATCAGAGATTTTTAGGGAGACGTGTCTTTCACTGATTTATCAGATGTTCTGAGCATGATTAAATTACTTCTGTCATCCATGACGGGTAAAGCGGTGTGAAGTGTGCACTGATTCTAGGGGTTCCAGGTGCTGAGTTCAAGTGTCAACTGAATAGTAGTAATTAAATCGCATGCTATGTTGTCAATAAGAAAACAAAGATATTGTGATATAAGAATCATACAAATACTAACTCTCAGTCTTCGTATGTTGAAGGTTTCTGAAGACACTTAAACACATCATCTAGGAAGCATTTAAAATAAAGTAGAGGTAGGTGTGTTTTTTTGTGGCCAAAAAAAAAATCATCGCCTAAATGATCATTTCAATTTTAAGTGTCTAGTGTCTGGAAAATGAGTTTTATACCTTATTAACATGAGGTTAAACCAGTAGCTAGCTGCCTGGGAAATGCACTTTAAAATCTAAAAAGATGGTTTCAAATGCGTATGTGATTCATAATAATAACAAACATGGTCCCTCAGCTGCTATGTTCTCCTCCACCAGCTCATTCACACTTTGTCAAAAGACTCTACTCGCTTTCTATGAGGTTAAAAAGCTCAAGAATGTTGAGTTGACTTCAATGATTTTGGAAGAATGCTGCGATGAAGCTACAGAATCTAGCTCATTCGTGGTCCAGCAGACTTTGACAAAGACTCTGCAGATGCATGGCTGACTCGTGAATCACTCTGGAATGAACTCTATACACAAACCCCATTGCTCCATGGCTCCATTTGTGCAATCCTGAAAACCCTGAGCAATTATTACCATCCCAGCTGAAAGATGTGCTCTTTTCCTCAGCAGCATTACAAAGACTCCCTTTTATTTCTTACCGTGGGCCTCATCCAGCGGACTCCTTGGGTTTTGGAGGATCTCGGGCCGAGCTCGTCGAAGCCCAGGGACGATGAAGCGCAGGGGAAGAGCGGGTCCTCGAAGAGCCTCCCGCTCCGCAGGCTCTGAGCTCTCAGAGACTCAAAGTCCTGACCCAGAAACTTCACTGCATTGTGGTTCTGTCCCAGACCTTGTTCACGATCCCACTGGCTCCTCAGCCTGGCCGCCGCGCCTGTGGCGTATAGGTGCCCCTCTGCCATCCTGAGCTTGTGGGGTTAACAGCGCAGGGTCAACTGTCACTCTCTGCTGGATTTCTTTTTTTTTTTTGGAACCACAATAAGATGCAAAGATGTGTCAGTTATTAAAGAGGCAACTGCGGCCTATTGCATCAACAGCTCTTAGACTGTATAAAGCACTGCAGCATGTAAATCTGATATAAAGTGGTAATGGCTTCAGGGCCCAGTCATAAATTAGAACGAAACAACAGTAGCCATTAGGAAGCTTTTAAATATTGATGAGAGCAGGCTGCTGCTGCTGCTGCTTGGTTGCAGTACTTGTGGTTACAGCTGGATGCTTCGAATGCAATCACAATCACAGGAGCTCAGAGTGCTTCCCACATGAGAGCGACGCTCCTTCGTCACAACAAAGGCAGGTCTGATCCCGGTCCACACCAATCACCAATGGGGTTTTTCTGTCCAGATGCCAGAAGTGCAGGATGTCGCTGCGTCTTTATCCTGCCAGCTGCTCGATCCTATAAAAACAGGTTGAAAATTAGAAACTGGCAGAGAAAGCACTGAAGAAGTCGATGCATAGCTGTATACCTGTGCATGCATGCAAGTATGCATGCACAGACAAAAGCTGTACACACCCTCTATAGATGCAGACGGGTTTTAAAAACGGCAGATGAGCCCTCCCTGTTTCTTTTCACTCACCCGCATACATGCATTCTTGCTATGAATAGCACAAGGATTAAGCACAATAGGCATATCGGCGCTACTTTGACTGTGCAGTGCTGAATGTGTACACAATGTCAATCAGAAACAAACGAGAGTTTAATCAGACGAGTGTGTAGAGCTGGACAGTAGTGCTGCGTGTGTGTGTGTGTGTGTGTGTGTGTGAATGTGTGTGTGTGTGTGTTTACTGTGCACATCTGACAGCTGGAGAGGCTCTGTGTGAGTCTTGATGCACAATGAAGGCAGCACGAGGGCAAGAACAAGCAAAAGCTCTCTGCGACTCTTTAATTAAGCAGAGCCAGAGAGGAGGAAGCGTAAACCGTCATTAGAGCCACAGAAGCTCTTGACAGAACTGGAGCTCGGGAAGAAGTTCATCTCCGTCCGTCTGCTTTTGTAGTCCTCGCTTTGCTTCTTTCTACCTCCACATCCCTTTCAGACGCTCAGGAGTTTATTTTTAACATCGCTCCGGTTTTTTTTGTTTTAATTTCTTTCAGCTCTGTTGCTTTATTTACTACTTCAACTTTCGCTCTTCCTGATCCTAGACTCACCAGTCAGCGGCAGCAGAGCAGAGTGAGGCTGTCATTGGCTGAGGGAGCGCTGTGGAGCCTGCAACAGTTTCCACTGCTCGCTGTGAACCACACCCATTAAAATGGCCCATTTCATGGAGTGTAAAATGTTCCTGCTGACTGAGCCAGAGAACAGAACATGACGCTGCAACAGCAGGTTTCCTGGACTGTGGTTTTACACTCATGACAATGACTTTAATACATTTTTTAGTACTATTACTAGCAGGCAGCAATACTGTAGCTCCTACCACCACCTGCATGAGTATGACACTTATTACTGCTGGTACTGGGCCACTGAAGCTGCAGCTCGTAATGCCAAAAGCACAACTGTACCCACTGCATGGACTGCTGCCATTGGCTGCTACAACTGCTATTTCTACAAATCCTATTCATGAAATTACTACTATAGATATTGTTTTGAATACAACAACAGCGAGCATTTACATCCTTCAAAATAAGAACTCACACTGTTTTGGCTTCTGCATCAAACTTCTTCTTTGGCTGCTACTATTTCTACTACTGTGCTTTTATTTCTGTCGTGCATATATACCTCAAATGCACATAAAGTGATAACGCCAGAACACTTGGAAGAAAAGAACATAACTTTTCATAAATGGTAAACTAACATTGACCCTTCTGTATAAATAAATTTTGCCACAAAATACTTGAAGGTTATTTAATCTCAACTTTCCCTGATTTGTTTAAAACGTCATGAACTATTTAAAATGATATCTATTAAATTTTAGGTTGATATATCAAAGACATTTAAGATTTAAAAAAAAAAATTTATTTACTGTTGACCTACATTATCTGACACATTGAAATTTGAGGCTATATTTGAATGACAATATGTCAGGAACTATCAAAGGTAAAATCCTGATTTTTTTACTGTTGTGTTTCCATAGTGTCATTGATTGGGAATCTGAAATATTGTACAAAAATACAAATTTATGTATAAATATGGTACATATTGTAAAACACAGGAAATCAGTAAAAGAAACTATCTCAAAAACTATTTGATATATCAAGAGAAAATTGTGAAGTTATCTTTATAAATACCCATATTTTATATCCATCCATCCATCATCTATACACCGCTGAATCCCCACTAGGGTCATGGGGGCCTGGAGTCTATCCCAGCTGACTCAGGGTGAAGGCAGGGGACACCCTGGACAGGTAACCAGTCTATCACAGGGCTACACTTAGAGACAGACAACCAAGCACACTCACATTCACACCTACGGACAATTTAGAATCACCAATTAACTTCAACATGTTTTTGGACCTTGTGGGAGGAAGCCGGAGAACCCGGAGAGAACCCATGCTGGGAGAACATGCAAACTCCACGCAGAAAGATCCCGGGTGTCCTCACCGGGACGTGAACCGGCAACCTTCTTGCTGCAAGGCAGCAGTGCTAACCACCGTTCCACCTTGCAGCCCCCCATATTTGATTTATATTATTTTTTAATAAATCAGGCAAATCAGAGATGGTCAAGCAGAAATCATACTAAATATGTGATGATTTAAGATGAAATTACCTTTTCATAATCATTAAAGCAGAAGAAACCAGAGCGTTTACTAGAAAATGACTAACTTATCATATCAAGAGCAATAAAACTTAAAATGGACTTTGTCTTTAGTCTCATCTACATCACAAATCAAACAAAGAATTTCCTCTGCAGGAAGATCATAAAACATATTCTCTTTGTGACTAATAGTGAACTGTAAGATCATATGCATCTTTGGTTCTTGGTCAGATTGCTTCAACTTTCTCTGAGCTGGTAAATGTGTGTTTAGACAAAAATGCATTGAGCATCACAAACACTGCATTGAAAAATTTTTTTTAAAAAAGAGAGAGAGACAAAGGAGTCATGCAAAATCAGGATTTCACAACACTAGTCCAAAGATGTCAATGCAAAATGGACTAATGCAAATCCTACCATTACAAGATCCCATAATTATAGTGAAACATACATGTCATAGTGAACTGCTGCTGTCCCTGCAGACACCAATTACTCTACATGCTTATTTTTCATTTTTAGGTGACTTTAACAACAGCTATTAAAGAAAATCTGCAGCCAGAGTAGGTGTGCTTCCACTACTACACTCAAAAACAACAGCAGACATCCCAACCATGTGGTGGTTTGATCTCTGCTGCGTGCTATCAGGCCACACTCTGGCCAACATGAGTTCAATCTGACTGTGATAAATATTTTATTCCCCCTCACATGAGAAAAACGCTCTCATCCTCACACACACACACACACACACACACACACACACACACACACAGATCTCCCCCACTTCAGCGCAGGTAGTGACACGTACGAGAAATGACAAGCAGCAGACGACACATCCACCCTGAGAGGAGACGCCTCCAGGCTTTTTCACCAGCAGCTACAGCCCAACAACACAGAGGCGGATTAAAAAACAGAAAAATACTCAAGATCTGTTTAGTGTACCTAAACCACTGCACGGTGCCGTCGTGTTTTATGACACGGGCTGGTATTGAAATAACTCCAAAGGCATCAGCATGATATTTCCTGCATGACAGAGCCTGTAATAAACTGCAGTCATGCGCAGTCAACATAATCAAAGTCATCTGGTTACCGGGGGATAAATTTGGTTGCATGCATGTTATTATTATCTGATACATTTCAAGAAGTGATAGAAGGAGAACATACAGCATATGAAAGCAGAGATAAGACACACAAACAGGTCAAATGAGTTGAGAGGCAGACACGGATGGGTTTTGAAACCATTGCCAACGTCAATATAGCCACAGTATGTGCCACTACTGCTTTTTCTTCTGCTGTTGCTGCATGCCTGTCTGTGGTTTCCTTCTCACGCCACAACAAGGGGCAGCTTAAGCGCATGCTGATAGTAGCTAAGTAATGCCTGTGGGCGTGTAAGGTCCAGCGTTGGTGCTGTGAGTAATCCTCATGACAGCCACTGGTGTATTTCTGCATGCAGGGTTCATATTCCAATCAGCGTGAAATAAAATATCCAAAGTATTTGTGGAGATAAACAGACCTGCAGAGAAATTAGACACTCAAAGTGACCACTGGAGGGGAAATGCTGACTTTGAGTGTGATTTTTATCTAAATGCATGACTAAACAAGTTCTACAAACACTTTGAAGCATGTGGTGCATTTGGAGAACACTCCTGAGCAGCTGGGTTGTTCGACTTTAATTTGGTCATATATGAAAACTTGTAGGGGAACACATGGCTCCGACAGATAAAGCTTGTAGACCTGCTGGTAGGTGTGGTCCATGAGAGGAGCTACAATGTCTACAAAAACTGTAACTTTCTCAGGCTGACTAATAGGAACAGCTGGGAGCACCGTCACTTCCCGATCATCTCAAACAATCTCACACGGAGCTCAAGAAAGCCACACTTTGCGGAAACAAAAGATCAACATGTATAGATTTGGTTTTCCTGCAGTCGTGACAGCTGTGAGAGGTTGCTGCTACTTTTGAAAGATCTGTTTCGCAATACACAAACTTCAAACTCTCCTCATTTAGAAGAAAAAAAAGTAAGTTCAGAGCAGAATTTCAAGCGCATTGTAAGATCGTCCTGCAGCGCGACACACACCGTAAAGTCACAGCAGTGTTGATGAGTGAGTTTTATATTTACCTGATCGTGTGTTTCCTTTAAAAGGCCGTTATTTTGACATTCACTGCACAACTTGGGTTTCTCTTTTCCCGTCCATGTTCAGTGTAGGTCCGTCCCCTCCGCTGCTTAGAATTTAGAAACGCCCTGCTGCCTCTGCCCTGATCTGTTGGGTCTGATGTGCCCCCTCCACACTGCGGCTGCGCAGTGCCCGCAAGACAGAAAACACTACAATGGAAGGGAGGGCTTTATTTTTGTGGTTTTCTGGTTGCTTTTGTTTTCAGGGAACCATTTAAAGCAGCTATTCTAGTGTAAACTCAAGTGCATTGCTTGAAGCTCCTTTTTTCCCCTCCATAATATTGTAAATACTGACAGTGCAGTTATTGCTTTTCATGTTTCAAGTACTTCCCTTTATAATTTAAAATTTCATAGAGAAATATGATCTTTTAAAAAATGGGTCAAGTATTTAAACCAAACCTAAACGTGGTAAATGGATACATAAGCTATTTTTCTCGTGTCAGTCGTTTAATTATATTTTTAAGTGTTTTAATTTCAAAGCGCGAACACGGACATCTAGCGTCAACAATCAGTATCGCTCCTCCTTCTAGACTTCATGTCCCGAAAGGCAGTGCGCCTTTTCCCGTCGTGCATTGCGCCGTTCCCATTCTCGCGTGTCCTCCGCTGCCGCCGTTGTTCCATTGAGAGAACCTCAACATGGCATCCGACGGACCACCGGGCACCGAGTCTCTCCCGTCTGATCTTGGGAGTGCTATTGCGGCTTTGAACACATGGAGCAACCCGGAGCTTCAGGGCAAGCTGGCGGAGCTCGGAGCCCCCACGCTGGGTAAGAAAAACGCCGGGAAAGACGCTACAGAAGGGCTGTGTTTAGCTAACGTTCGCTAGCATGTTGCTAATGCTAGGTAGCGTTTAAACGCATTACTTCCGTTGCAATGAGCTGAAGTTAGGCCTGCAGTATGTTTACACTCTCTTAAATACAATTTCTTACACTTGTTAGACAAATACGTTTTATGTTTATCGACGTGACGCCGTTAAAGCAATAGTAACTGCGTTTGTTTTGGTTTGTTAGGTTCCTTGGTGTAGCACAGTTGTCTAGCTGCTTTGCTAACTTTCATGGTCAAGAACGCACTTGTCAGAGTTAGCCTACTTTTCTGTTAGTGTTCAACGTGTGATCAAGATCTGTGCGTTCCTGACAAATTATATGTACACATCTTACACGTACATCGTCATCTCAGTGTTGTGGAAAGGCCAAATTTATAACATGTTTCTGAACTACTTTTGATTCCTCCAGGTCCCAGAGAGGAGCTGATTGACAGATTGAAGGGCTACATGATGCAGGTAAATGCATCCTCGGTGCTTTCAGTTTTACCAGCAATCTGTAATGTTCAATGTTGGTTGTATTAATGTTTGCCACTCGTAGTCATTCGCATACACATCACAGTAGCTCTCTACTTAATGTGATCAGCGCACATTTGTTTTGCGTGTGGGTTTATTGTAAATATCTGTCGCTTTCTATTGTTCTAGATTTTTCTGTCTACACACACGTAGTTAGGAATAAAGTAATGATTCTCAAATCTACCATTATAAAAATTGTTAAGAGAGTATTCCCAACGTATGCTCCTTTGCCCTTTTGGCTGCCTTTTTATTACAATCAATGAAACCTTAATTACTGGTGCTTTAGGCCTGGGTAATAAAATGATATCGATATGCACCGGCAATACACATTTAATTATTGGCAACAAGAAAACTGTGCGACAGAATGTTTGGCAGTGTGCAGGGACCAGTATTTGCACTTGCAGGATATGGTTCATGATCTTGAAGCACCCATGACCCTGTGGCCCCCTCCACCTCGACAACACACTCCCAGACTGTGATGAATATGCTTTAATGGTTAAATTCAAATTAACCTTTTTCAGGCCTGCAGTTAGCAAAACACATATAAATGTTTAAAAAATCATTACTATTGACTGAAGTGAAACATTTTTATTGATCGATGCATTTTCCAGCTGTATCACCCAGCCCTACTCGTACTCCAAATGTTTTTCTCGGTAGCGTTTTACTCAATTGTTTTGCATGCTTGTCTCTCTCTGCAGACTGGGATTCTCCTCAGCAAACCTAATGATGACAAATCAATGGGCTCCCAGGTAATTACCTGATAAATCACAGTGAAAACACTGTTGTCGGTGCATGCGGTTTGACAATGTTTAAGCATCCGGTGTATCACCACACAGTTAATCAGCACAATGTGTATCACCGTTGCTGACGTGTACTGAATAGAGTCACACACCCTTAGTATGGGTTCATTTCACACCCTCACACTTTCCATTCTCCTCACTGTCTCCTGCGTTTCCTCCTCCTCAGATGCAAGGTATCCCTCCTATTCCCCCGATGCCCATGCCGCCCATGCCTCCTGGTATGGGTATGCTCCAGGCTATGAGCATGATGCCTGGAGGGCCCCCTCCACCTGGAATACACATGGGCATGGAACACCCAGGTTTGCCCCCTCCTGGCCTGTCACAGGAAGATCAGCTGAAGATGGCTCAGCAGAGAGCAGCCATGGTGTTGCAGCAGGAGGAGAGGGCCAAGCAGCAGGTGAGATGGCTGAAAGATTACTGACGGAGTAATCCACTTGTGGTGTTGAGTTTGCCTCTAAAATACAAAATAGCCTCGAGTTAATCAGTTTGTAAAATGGTAGTATTCAGTAAAAAACCTTAAATCATCTCTCCTGAAAGCAAGATAAAACAAGTGTCTATGTATCTGCTTTGGGTAGTGAATGACAACAAAAATATTTGATAGTAAGTCTTATTGGTGACAGTTGTAAGATGAAAGTTTGAGTAATTTGAGAACAATCTAACAGGGACATACTAGGTTAAAATGCAGGATGAGGCACAAAAAATATTGTAAGCATACATCTTGTTTTGCTGATTGTTAATCATTCATTCTTTATGGTTGTCACAGGGTGATGCCCGTGTCATGGATGAACAGGATCTTCTGGAGCAACAGAAAAGGGTGAGAGGATGATGGGTTAAGAGACTTATTAAAGTTTCAACGCTGACAATAAAGTTTTTCATTCATCTTTGTCTTCCTCTTCTCATATCAGGCTGCGGTGCTGCTGGAACAGGAGCGTCAGCAGGAAATTGCCAAGATGCAGCCCAGAGCCATGCCCCCTGTCAGCGCAGTGAGAGGTGTGTCTGAGACAGAGTTTAAAAAACATTTCCTGAAATAGTTAGTTCTTTACGTGATATTAGTTTGCCGGTAGGGAAGCTTTCAGTCTCCCACAAGATCTGAAGGCAAATTTTTATGCCACAATTTTCAAGTACGTTATCACATCTTACAGTTTCAGCTTTGGATCCTCGTGGGCCGCTGCCTCCTGGTGTCACGATGTTGCCGACCCAGAAACAGAGAGTTCCACCTCCTCCAGGAGAGGATAACAGAGAGGTAAGCAAACCTTTCCTCTTATGTAGGTTATTTTAGTCTTCTCTGAAACTGTTGTCCAATCACACAGACTGCATGTACTTTAAAATACACAATAGTTTTTGTGTATTTGTAGATAGCAACGCATTTCTTTAGTTAAATCCTCTTTCTTATTTTGTAAAAGACCAAAGTAAGCTCTTCAAACCCTTTGCTCTCAATTACTCGCGTTTTGTGTCCGAATATGTTGGTCAAAGTTCAGCTGAAAGAGGGATCCAGGTTGTTTTACTTTCCGTTGATTGAAAGCGAAGACTATCTTGTGATTCACTGTGTCCTAATTACAAGTTGTTTTGGTTCTATTCCAGGCCTGGCAGAGCGAGGAGGTGAGTGTCAGCGGACCCAAGATCCCTCAGGCTCTGGAGAAGATCCTCCAGCTAAAGGAAATCAGACAGGAGCAGCTCACTGATCCTGCAGGTCAGCACAGCTATCAGCTATCAGCTAGTCAGCTGTTCCTGAAAGATAAACATTTGTTTTGAAGGTTTTGTTCTGTAAGGAAGGCTTCTGAAGATCAACAGTGATTACTACATGAAGTTATTCCATTTCAAAGATGTTAAACTGGTGATTTGTATTGGGGGTGTGAGACGCTGGGTGTGGTCATCACAACCTTTAACCTTCCTTTTCTTTCTTCCAGAAGAGGAAGAAGATGATGATGAGGCAGAGATGGACTTGAACAATTCCTCTGCACCAGTCATGTCTGAGACGGAAGATGATGACAGTCAGATATCTAAAAAAGATGTAAGCCTGCTCTTTATGCGTACACCCTAAACACCGCATCACAAATCTGTTCTTTCAAAAATGTGCTTTTATGCTTGTTGCTGTTGCGATGGCACTTTAAATTGTGATAATCCAGGTGCACATGTTTTATTATGGTTAGTAGAAGTCCCTTTTTGAATTTATAAGTTACCTGTTTTTCAGAAAAACCGCAGACGCAGAAATCGCAAGAAGAAGAGCAAGAAGAAGCGAGCCCAAGAAAAGAAGGAGCAGGCAGAGCAGCAGCAGAAGAAGGAGGGCAGCGACAAGGAGAAGGAGAAAGACAAAGACAAAGACAAAGACAAGGACAAGGACAAAGACAAAGAAAAAGAAAAAGAGAAGGAAAAAGATCCAGAGGTGGAGATCGAGTACGTCACAGAAGAGCCGGAGATTTACGACCCCAACTTCATCTTCTTCAAGAGGATTTTTGAGGCATTTAAGGTGACTTTAACTGACTGTACGACAGCTTTAGGTGTGTAATACACTTGTGTTTTATCATTTGCCTTGGTTTTCCTCTAATGCAGTTCTGCTTTCCTTCTCTTCTCTAGCTGACTGATGATGTGAAGAAAGAGAAGGAGAAGGAGCCTGAGAAGGCAGAAAAGCAGGAGACAGCTGTGCTGCGCAAAAAGGGATTCGAGGAGGAGAAGAAAGACAGTGACGAGAGTGACGAGGTTTGAATTTGCTCCATCTGTTAGGAAAACAGACCAGAAAAAAAAAACATCAATCCTGTTTCATTATGTGTTAAACATCGAAAATATTTGTCATGTACAGGAAATCCGACCAGATGCACCTAAACTGTCCAAGAAGAAGCTGAGGAGGATGAACAGGCTGACTGTGGCTGAACTCAAGCAGGTAGATTAAGATTCCTCAGTAGCGCATCTTTAAAAATAAATGTTTTTTCAACCTGTACTCACAGTCTGAATAATCCAAGGAAGTTTTCAAGCTAACAGATGATTTTCAAGACAAGTAATAATAATAACCTTTAAAATTTTGCTCCAGCTGGTGGCTCGTCCAGATGTAGTGGAGATGCATGATGTGACGGCCCAGGAGCCCAAGCTGCTGGTCCACTTAAAGGCCACCAGGAACACGGTGCCAGTGCCCCGCCACTGGTGCTTCAAAAGAAAGTATCTGCAGGGCAAGAGAGGTATAGAGAAGCCTCCATTTGAGCTGCCCGAGTTTATCAAGAGGACTGGAATCCAGGAGATGAGGGAGGCCCTGCAGGAGAAGGTGGGTGGCCTTTCAACGATTCCTAACAACACTTTAATATATTTGATGTTTTCTTGCAAAAAAAATTCCTGCATGATCAATGAAATTGGTGATCCGTTTTCAGGAAGATGCCAAAACTATGAAAACCAAAATGAGAGAGAAGGTTCGCCCCAAGATGGGAAAGATCGACATCGACTACCAGAAGCTCCACGACGCCTTCTTCAAATGGCAAATTAAACCCAAACTCACTATTCATGGAGACCTTTACTACGAGGTACAAGATTCATGGGAATTCAATCACTTTCCACATTTTTCTCTCAGCAAAGTCTTCATCTCTAATCGGGAGAAGTACATTTATTACAGCGAAATGAATAATGACAGTGGTGCTGCAAGCCTGTGAAGGTCCATTTCATGACCCACTTTCTGTTTGCCTTTCTTGTGTCTCTGCAGGGTAAAGAGTTTGAAACTCGTCTGAAGGAGAAAAAGCCAGGGGATCTGTCTGATGAGCTGCGTATTGCTCTGGGCATGCCAGTTGGACCTGTAAGTTCAATTAGCATTATAATACCTTGTGATTTAACTGAGCTATAACACTTAAAGCCACGACTGCTGAGCTCACCTTTGAAATCTAGAACAGAGAAAAATCTGACCATATACAGTGTAGCATAGTATGAATAGAACAGAGAATATATTAACTGCACTGTGCTGCTTTTTCAGTCTTATTGTTGTTGTGTTTTTATCCCTGCGGTCGTGTCACTTACCCTATTGTCTTGTTGTGTCACGCTCTCTGGTATTGCTGGTAATGTATGAATGTACAGCCTGGGAAAAGACGTGACACGACTTGTTTACAGTGACATAAGACCAACACAATGCAGAGAAAATGAGTTTCAAAAATATACCCAGGCAGCTTTTTTTTTTCTTCTTTTTTCCAGGACACATCAATAGACACTTAGAAATGAATGCATGCAGCTTATTTTTAGGTCACGTGAACCCTCAGAGAGTAGACCCACTATACAGGCAGCACATCTTAGCGCTCAGTGAGGAAACAGTACTGTTCATTGAGCTTATACACAGTTTCTCTTGTTCCCTAGAACGCCCACAAGGTGCCGCCTCCCTGGTTGATAGCCATGCAGAGGTACGGCCCCCCTCCCTCTTACCCCAACCTCAAGATCCCCGGGCTCAACTCCCCCATCCCAGAGGTAATAACATATCTTTCTGTATATTTAAAGAGTTATTTTTCAACCTTTGTGTGCAAACTTGGGTTTTTTATGTAAGCAAAACACTCACAAATGATCTAATCTGTGTATTTATGCAGATAAATTTGTCTCAGTGTGTTTAATTTTTGCTATTATATTTCTTAATATCTCCTTAATGTTGTTTCTCTGTTCATCAGAATTGTACTTTTGGTTACCACGCCGGAGGCTGGGGGAAGCCGCCAGTAGATGAGATGGGCAAACCTCTTTACGGTGACGTGTTTGGGACCAACGCTGCAGACTTCCAGGTCAGGATTACACAACCTGTTGGATTCAAAAAACACATAAAACACTTCAGGATTCGTACAGAGTCTGTACACGGCATTTAAAGAAAAGAATGTTGTTTATTCTTTCGCAATTGTCGCTTTTCTTCGGCTGTTAAATCAATCCGATAAAAGCTGAAGACAACAAAGTAATTACATGTACATAAAACGCTACAAGTAACCAATATGCTTTAGGTTATTGGATCCTGGAGAAACGCTCTCATCTTTCCTGTACTGCTGTGTATGTACAGCAAAATGACAACAAGCTTGATTTGATTTGATGAGTCACCAGATATTTGAGTTGTAATCAAGTCTGCTGTACAGTTTGGTCGTTTAATTTATTGATGATTGCTTGCGCTCTCGCTGTTCTTTGCTCGACTAACAGACAGATGTGTTTTCTGTGTCCAGGCTAAAGCGGAGGAGGAAGAGGTGGACCACACGCCGTGGGGAGAGCTGGAGCCTTCAGACGAGGAGTCATCAGAGGAAGAGGAGGAGGAGGAAAGCGACGAGGAGAAGCCAGACGAAACAGGATTCTTCACACCAGCAGACAGGTACTTAACATGCAAATTATGCTCTACAGAAAAATTAATGCATCTTGAAGAGTCTCTTTCCAAATGAAGTTTTTTTTTTGTTTTTTTTTTAAACATCTTCTTTTATGCAAATAACAACAAAGAATGAGGAAATTGCTTTTATACAAAATAAAGACATCAAACATAAACAAAGCCATGTTGCTGTGTTCTTTTAAGGAGCTTCAAGATTAAAAAGGCAGTTTTCTGTTATTCTCATCAATGCAGAGACACACACTGAACACACTGGCTTAAAACCCATTACCATAATTTACCGTGTAATTATAAGATCTACTGACCTGTGAACTCTGGCAGTAGAGCCCCCATTTTGATTAGTGTTTAACTGGGTAAGTTGGTTCAGTTGATTAGGTGTTTAACTTGTCTATGATTATCCTCTAGTGCAGGGCATGATTGCATGTCCTTGCTCTTTTTTTTTTTTTTTTTCATCTGAGCTTTTGTGTACAAAAGGTTGATTGAGGCTGTTTATGCCCACTGCTGTCTAATCCTGTTCAAGACTTACTATTGATAAAATGACGCGCTGGTGATCTCATCGTGTGCTGTATCTCGTTTTTGCTTGTTTCAGTGGGCTGATCACCCCTGGAGGCTTCTCATCAGTACCCGCCGGCATGGAGACCCCAGAGCTGATTGAGCTGAGGAAGAAGAAGATCGAGGAGGCCATGGACGGGTGAGTGTCGCTCTGTACTGCTTCAACATGTCCATTAATAGGTTTAATTAATCTAAAATAGCTTAGAATATTTAGATACAGCTATTTCTGTACATTTTCTGTCCTGAATTTGATAAATACCTACATTGAAATAATAAAACATGATTCATTTGCTACAAAAAATAGTGAAAAAAGTGTCTTTACATCCACTATAAGTCCCCATTAGAGTTAAAAAATCAAATGGAACCTGTTTAGTATTCATCTAATAGAAAATCTGTCTTTCACCGGCAAATATTTGTAGCACTGATTTGACACGGCCAAAACATTTGTCTATATGAGGTCAGTGTAAGTGAACAGCATAAGATGAAAATATAACCTACAATCACTTGGAGATGTTTTTATATTTACTAAACCTTTATATTTTGCGTTAAAAAAGAGTGAATACCAAAAAAAAAAGCAATCAAACTTAATGACTTTCTTTGTTTGACATGTTCTTGTGTTGGCAGAAACGAGACGCCACAGCTGTTCACTGTTCTGCCAGAAAGACGAACTGGCCCCGTAGGAGCGGCCATGATGGCTTCAACACACATTTACGACATGTCAGGGGTAAGACGAGATATCTGCAAATGCATAAACCTGCCTCGGTGTCCTGTCGTGGTAGCTGAGCCTGAAATCTCCTCCTCCTCTTGTTTTTCCCCGTCTCCAGGCCATGGCGGCTCGTAAGGCGGGCGGAGGGCAGGAGTCGCAGGGTGTGGAGGTGGCTCTGGCCCCCGAGGAGCTGGAGCTGGACCCCATGGCCATGACGCAGAAGTACGAGGAGCATGTCAGGGAGCAGCAGGCCCAGGTGGAGAAGGAGGACTTCAGCGACATGGTGGCCGAGCACGCCGCCAAACAGAAGGTAGTACAAAACGGAATCAGTGTCAGCTTATCTCACATTTAAGCATTTTTCCTTCATGTAAATTTTTATTTCTTCTGTTAGTTATTGTTGATAAATAATATTCTGGTATGTGGTAGCGCTGCCTCCAGTAGACGACCAGACATTAATTGATAATTAAATGACAAGCTGTGATTGGTCAGATGTTTACAGGGAGAACAGTGACTCATACAGACCTGATCCTTTACACTGCTGGTCCCAGTGGTTATCTGTGTAGAATTAGATATGTTGGGCAGGAAAGCCAAAGGGTTTGACCCTTCCAGGGGTAAAAAAAAAAAAAAAAGGTGACACTTTGCTGGTGTTATTGCAGCTATGTGTGCGCTTGTAATTCTTAGAACTTAAAGGCTCATTATTAGCTATGTTCTCATTTTCCCAACGAGCCACAAAAACCTTCTTGACAACCAGTTGACAAATTTCTTGAATTTTCATCTACTTGCCAACTCAGAAAGGTCAACTACACCCAGTTCCTAGAGGCTGTTATGTTTGCTGGTCTGAAGTCTGGTTGGTATTTCTCTGGCAGGCAGGAAGTTGATGTTTTGTGCAGCAGAAATATGCTAGAAATACATACATGTGGAGTTTCAATCACTACAGTACATCAGACCAACAAAGACAGCTGTTAAATCAGCACCATATCTATTTTAAATCCAATAAAAAGCAATTGTAGTTGTTGAAAGAAATAGTTTCTGTTTTTGTAAGCCCACTTGATCAGCAGGTCTGGCCTGTGAAGTAAAAGCATGTGACTCTGCAGTCGTTCTATTAATACACTAAAGGAAAGTAGGAGTTTACTGTCATTTCAGTTTCTCCCTTGTGGTTAAATTTGAATATTAATAGCCTCCCCTCTCTCCTTCCTTGTCACACAACAGCAAAAAAAGAGGAAGGCCCAGCCACAGGACACGCGAGGCGGCGCCAAGAAATACAAAGAGTTCAAGTTCTAGAGGAGAAGCGTGGAGGCAGAGCGCTGCGAGAAGGCCGGCCACAACAGGAAATGAAAGGGGAAGACGCAGACTCAGATTTCAATTTCAGCGGATGCAGACTGCAACATCAATCATCTGTTAGACCAGTAACAGTACATACATCCTTTGTTCCTTTTTTAAAAAATCTAAATCGACGATGTTGTCCTGACGAATCAAATGTGTGTCACGTAAGAATGCTGAAGAATGTGTTTCCTCTGTTCAACTCTGCTTTTTAGGTCCTGGTTATTTTTTCACTGTAACCATGTTTTTTTTCTGTTTTTTTGTAAATAAAAGAAGTGATGACGCGAGTTGACAGCTGCACGTCCCCGGGGTTGCTTTTATTCTATTTCGTCGCATTGGGGAGGGAGGGGGGATTTCACTGACATGGGTAATCACATGCTGCTGGTAAAATGCAAGGTATTTTCCAAGTCTTAGTCAGCTGATCCAGATGTAGACTCAGGCACAGTGACTTCAGACGGAAAGACCCTCCGTATTAACTGGTACTTTACACTTGAGGCCTATTTTACCATATGAAGTTGCTGAACTGTGTCCTCTGTGCTGTATTTGAGGGATGGCGGTGCTTCTTTAGCTGTTTAGTCTGAGATAAGACCAAGTGTTGAGGATGAGACCATGTCAAGGTCCAAACAAACTTTAGACCAGAGCTTAAAAAGAAACCAGAGGGCTTCAGTTGAGGCTGGTTTTAAGCTCATGTTTAGAAGTTTAAGGCTCCATCAGAGTAACTGCAAACACTTGGGAGCAACAAAGAGGCTTTAACGTGTGTTTAGACCCCAACATGGCGACGAATTCTTTAAGAGACCAGAACTGTTAAAGGGGAAAATTTAACATTTTGTATTAAATACTAAGAAAAGATGGTTGGTGCTCAGTTCAGAGTTTTGTAACGGTGTTCCTAAATAAGCTTCGATTAACATAAAGATTATAAACAAGGGAAATGGTTAATTTGTTTGTGTGTGACGGTAACAAAGTCCAAAGTCAGCACCTCTAAAGCTCACTTAAAAGTTTGTTTAATGATTAGATGAAGTGTTATTTTTAAGTTCATGGCCCTGGATTTACGCCCCGGGACGAATGCACCGCGGCTAGAACTCCCCATTTAACAGCATGCACAATCACGAGGATAAATTTCACGGGTGCATTTAGTGTCTTCATCATTGCCTTGATCGGATCGGTTGCTATGGCAACACTGATATGATCTCAGCTTGACAAAGATGTCAGGGGAGCACCGTACGCACGGGGCACTTGAGGATTATTGCCTAAAGTAATGAGTCATTAATTCTCACAAACATGCCAAGAGTGGCAACGAGCTGCAGGTTCCACAGCCAGAGGGCGGTAGAGGACTCCAGAGCCGGCCGTCTGGGAAGCACAGTGACCTAAATAAGCTGCAGCAGCTACATGCTGACTCGGTCACTGGTACACAAGCTCACACAGCGCAACAGCCTGTTCAAATCAAATCCCTTGACCGTCCTAAAAGCAATGGAAATAGCACCTATGCTGCCAGTAATGTGGAGCTGTGTGCTCAACAGTGTGGACAAGTGACACTAGCAGGCGTTATTATTACTGATAGGTACACAGTGACAGTTCTGGGAATGAGGCCTGAGTCTGCTCTGGATGGAAGGATGTAATCTGGTGTTTGGATTTGATGATACAGCGTGTTGTGATTTGTTATTCCTGCCATCAAAATTCAAACGTCATTATCTATTAAGCCGTAATTATCTGTAACGAGACCATTTTAGACTCCTGATTTTAACACAGGGCTGCAAGGTGGCTCAGTGGTTAGCATCATTGCCTCGCAGCAAGAAGGTCGCTGGTTCGCGTCCCAGAGAGGACACCCGAGATCTTTCTGCGTGGAGTTTGCATGTGCAGCGTGGGTTCTCTCCAGGTTCTCCGACTTCCTCCCAGAAGGTCCAAAAACATGCTGTGGTAATTGATGATTCTAAATTGTCTGTAGGTGTGAATGTGAGTGTGCTTGGTTGTCTGTCTCTAAGTGTAGCCCTGTGATAGACTGGTGACCTGTCCAGGGTGTCCCCCGCCTTCACCCTGAGTCAGCTGGGATAGACTCCAGCCCCCTGTGACCCTAGTGAGGATTAAGCGGTGTATAGATAATAGATGGATGGATGGAGCTGATACTATGAGGGAGTTCATCAATGAATCACTGGAAAGAAAATTTGCTTTTATTTTGCTGATCTGTCCTTTTTGTCACAAAATACCAATAATTCACTGGTTGTAGCTTCTCTTGTGTGACTTTTAAACATTCATCAAACCACAGGATCTTTGGGTTTTGGACTGTTTTGGCCACATTTTATTCATGTAATGATGTAGAAAAGAAGTATGAAGTGTCTTCTCCACTGCACACATACATGCACTGTGCAGCTGCTGTGTAAATATACAGCATGCTCGTTGCTGCTGTTTGAAATGTCCTGTACAGGAGAAGTTTACTTGTGTTGCGTAAGACACGGTATAAACTTAATTGACTCTGACGTCGGATTTGGAGCCCGTGCAGTGTCACTTGATGACTTGGCAGATTCGGGGCGCTGTGCAAAAAAGTAACCCGGGATTATCCAGTGGCCATGTTTTAATCTGCTTGATTCTAATCTCTTTATCAATGGCAGGAGATGGCGGTGAGAGAAGCCTGTTAAAAAGAGCAGAGGGGGTGGCACTGCGTTTAAGTCATTCAGCAGATTATCCAAAAATCAAGCAGCACCGTGCTGTTTCATGCTGTTAGTGCGGGAATGTAAACTCGCAAACACTTTACACTAATCTCCACTTCCAATTTAATATTTAATAAAAAGGTTTCTTACAGTTTATAAAGTAATTATGAGGAGATATATGTGTTTATTCATCTGTTTTTTAGTAGCTCCTCCTGTGGGAAGCCATAAGCGAAGGCCGGAGTGTGTTTTAAACCATTTATTAAATGTTTCTAGCTGCTTATTGATCCACAAATAGAGTTTACAAATTCAAGTGTTACCACAAAACCGATGTTACTGATGCTTTGATTAACTTAGCAAAGAGGGAACATACTGTACAAACATATGACATCACCAGCTGTTTGCTTTGTGTTACATCATTATTACCAGCTTTTGCAGTGACATGCTCTCCAACCCCTAAGCCTTCATCTAATTTTCAGTCATTTTCTTTCATAAATATACAATTCTCCAACAACCTCTGGATGTAGCAGAATCTTTCAGAGCAAAACGTGCCTCTTACAGGGTTTTCATCAGTGTGTCTTCAGGCTGTGAGGAACATTTCAAGCGCATAATGCTGTTGTAAGCCCCCGATCACAGCTGTGATAATCTGCCTATGGAGAAACGTCAAAGCGACGGCAGCCAGCTGTGCCGTGACGTTGTCATTAGGTCACCTTCTGATTCATATTCACATTCGGAGATTACAATCGGAGCCTTGCCTTTGTCACCTGAGGGTGCAGACGCTGCACCTGTTCCACTGACAGGCAGCCAAACGCTGGGAGAGAGGCAGCGTGGTGTTTGTTTCACAGGGAGAAAGGGTGGAGCTGGTGGTTACAACGTAAACAAAAGTGGAAGGGAAGTATTTGCGTGTTTGCTTGGTGTCAATGTGTTTGCATATATTACAGCTTGAAACCACATATAAACTACATTTAACACATGATCAGCTTCAAAAACCAAGAAAGAAAAGACAAGTAAAAGCCCTGCTGACTGTCATATCAGGTATCAACAAGTTATGTGCATGAAACAAAAGCAAGCTGAATTCACAGACTGTAACCGGTTTTGCACCTTTGTATATCTGCTTGCTCACAACTGAAAGAAGGTGTGTGCTTGCGCGCGCACATGTGTACGTGTGTGTGTGTGTGTGTGTGACTAATGGGAATCATTTCAGCGACACCTGAGGCTCCAGTCAGAGGCCAATCTAGGCCGAAAATAGAACAATTCACACATGTACCCACACCGATCCCCAATAAAACAACAGAATGCATCCAGTTCTCCTATAGGAAGGTTTCGCTTTAGCTCCGTATAATGTAAATACAACACTGATGTAAGACAAAACCAGTGGATGATGGGTAAATATTGACTCTGACTGGTTTAAATCAATACACTCGTAAGGTGGAAGAGGTGTTTTCCTCACTGCGTGTCATTGGTGTCAACCATCTATTTGATTAGTTTGTGTAATGATATCCTATTGTTAACTGGGTTAAATATGCACATAAGTCTGGTCTGATAGATAATGTATAGTTTGCCAGTCCTGGTATCGATCTGATGAGATGTTTCAAACTGACATCAATGCAGCTGCAGCTAGTACAGAGCACTTTGATCATATTTCTTTCATATATTTGTTTTGTATGTATGAATATAGTGAGTACTGGCATGTTCACAGGTAGCATATAAGGGTTTCCTTTTTGTATTTGTATGCCACACAGCATACACTGTACTAAACACTTAGAGATGATATCACAAAATTGCAGTTTACATCAGGTACAGAGGAGCAAGCACAGTGCATTCGTCGTCAGTGCTTTTCTTTTAACACTAGACCTAAAAAAATCCAATCTTCTCTCTAGAACATACAGTACTATACACCTGATAGGTTGTACAGAGTAAAGTCTCAGTACTCAGGTCTGCCCAGGATATAAAACTGGAATAGAAACACTGATACACATGTTCTTGGCCTGTCCATGCCTAAGTTAATATTCTATACTCCAGGTGCTTAATGACATTACAGGAATAACCATCCCTGCAGAACCAGGAGTAATCCTGCTGGGAATGGTCTGCACTCATATAGCACCTTTTAAGGCCTGGCACACGCTCCTGTGATGAAAGCTGATGTAAAAATGTCTAGAATCGCCCATATTACAGCCAAGTGATGTATCTCTGTGCAATGGAAAGATGAACAACTGCCTACATTTGCTAGCTGGATGAATGAATTAGCATCATGTATGTCAAATGGAAAGATAGTGCCCCACCTGAACTGACTTATGTGTCAATATGTGTTAGTGTTGTGTTGTATTAGTCAGCTCAAGGGTCATTATGTTACAAACACAATAAAAAGAAAAAATGCATAACAATAATAATATTACATTTAATTAGAAATAAATAAAAATTTAAAAAAAAAACTCTCTCGATAGAATTAATTGAGCCTAATTAAAATAACGTCAACTATGTGGCGTATTATATTATTATTGGGTAGATTTAAATGAAAAGTGATATAAATATATATTTTTTTCATTTATATACCCTTTTATATAAACAGAAAATTAACACTAATAATACCAGTACTCATCGTAATACTGCTGATAACAACTTTTTTTTTTTTTAATATAATAATAATCTCCCTAGATTCAACTCAATAAGCTTTATTGAAATACAGCTAAAAAAAAAAAAAAGAAAAAAAGAAAAAGCTATCCAACCATGCAGCCTATTGTGGAAAAAGGAATGCATTTGAAAAGTAAACCAGAAAATATATATTTGAAAATAAAGACAAAGTGTTGCCAATGACACCAGCAGTAATAGATTTGTTTTAAAAATAAATAAAATGTGTTTAAAAACAATGAGCTGTGTTGACATGTAGCTGTGTAAGCTAACAAACCGGCTAATTCTAGTCATAACAAAAATATTATTACAAATATTTAAATGATAACAAATCAGTTTGGCTGCTGTTTATGGCCGTGCGGGTGCTGCTGGGTTCTGTTGGGTTCTGTTGGGTGCTGTTGGGTGCTGCTGGGTGCTGTTGGGTGCTGCTGGGTGCTGCTGTGGGCTGTATCGTGCAGAACGAGGTGGGGTTTCGCAGAGCGCGCCTCTCCATTGGCCGCCCTTCCTGCTCAGGACTCTGTGAAGAGGCGTTGCTCCGCTGCGCCGCCGCCGCTGCTGCTGCTGCTGCTCTCGTTGCTTTCTGCTCATTGTGCGACTTCGGCGAGAGAAATTTCCGCTTCCTGCACCGACAAACAGCAGCAGCCGAAACACACACCGAGCCGACACCAAGTTCCGCGCGGAGACGGGAGACGGACGCCGGGATTCGCCGCCTGCCTTCGCCTCCGAAGCCCCGACGACTGCAATGTTTTCACTGTCGGGCGGCGATTAGCAACGAGCGGAGCAACTTTCCGTTTGAACCGAGAGGAGCCTGAAAAAAAAAAACACAAATAAGAGGCAAGAGGAGGAGAAGAAGCGCCGACGGCACCAGGAGAAGGACACACGGAGCAGGCAGCGCAGCGCGGGTCTTCCCCCCGTTAGGCTCCGTCTGAAAGTCCCCCTCCAGCCTCCGGGATGTCGGAGCGAGGAGGGCTCCCGCGGACTGGGGGCGTCCCTTCGCCGCACATGCAGCCCTCCAAGCCGGTCAGCATCACCTCCAACCGGCCGGTCCACATGAACCTGTACGCCACCTGGGAGGTGGACCGCTCCTCGCCCAGCTGTGTGCCGAGGTATGTGCAAAGGGGGGCCGGGGAGAAAACCGGGTAGCCTAAGCCGAGCATGACTTATCATTTTTGGGCTGGTTGTGAATGGGAAATGACCCAGGCAGCGTGTCTCCTCTGGGGGATCGCAAACAGACAAACACCCATGGGTGCCTGTGTAGAACGCCTCATTTAATGCTGCTCTGCTATGCAAAGGAGGTCCCATCTAAACCACTAATGAGCATTTTATTTGCTGTAGCTGTTACATTAACCTGTGATCTGGACCCTTTGTTTGCCATCTGAACACTTTCTGTGGTCCCCAGTCCTCATGTTGACCACCAGCAGCTCTCCCAAATGATCAGCAGCCTCTCCAGCCTTATTGTTAACACATACTGACATGTTCCCTGGTTCTGTTCTACCCTCATAAGGCTGCGTGTCGGAGCAGCTGCAGCCTTCTCCCCAGCGGATAGCCTCAGTTGTTGCCCACCTGATCAATGCAGACACAAAAGATTGACGAAGCATTTGGTCGCAGACTGTCACTTCAGCTGTAAGGAGCCAGTTTGTATCCCTGAATGAAACAGCTGCAAACACCAGCCGCCGGGATGTGCTGGGTTGTGGTGGAACAGAAAAGCAGGAATCGTCTCTGAGGCGACTCCAGAAGCCAGATTTATTGTCACATTTTGACTGCCTTGACATGCTGATGGTTGATGTTGTAACACAAGTGTGTGTTTGTCAGGGCATTGCAGCAAGGTCACAATAGGCGCGACACCTTATCCACCTGAGCTCAGCCCCAAACAAAGCAGCTGAAGTAGGTCTCTTTGTCTGACTGAAAGGCTCAACAGCCAGTCTGAGAAGTGATTCAGCCGGCCGGCGTGCGTGTCACACCGCTGACGGAGGAAGAAGATCCACTTCCTGATGTGACCCGTGATATCAGATCCGAGCGGCCGAAGTTTGTCCTGTGTTTACGATGCTGCTGTAATAACTGCAGGTCATGAGTTAGACTCAAGGTCAAAGGTTAACAGCAGAAGTGTTTTCCAGCCCAGATGAAGCCTCCAGCAGGAGGGCCGGTGATGGATTTTACAGCATGTCAAAGTGCAAACAGTCGTATAGAAACCTCAGAATGTGTTATTTGTGGATTCGCTCGTCTTTATAGGGCAGATTTCACCTGTTAAATCAAGCCGTAACTTTCCGATGGAATGTAAAGTTCCCGTCTAAATTTGTGGTGTTTTTTTTTTTCACAGTCTTAAGCGTGACCTGCATCCTGTCAGATGAGCCCAGATGTTTAGGTTACTGAAAGCAATTAGTGGGAATAAAGCACGCTGGTAAAAGCACCACGGTCATCATCACACAAAGCTCACATGCTGACATCTTAATGCTGCTTTCTAAAATGCTTTGGGGCTTTACTGGTTTAGAAGCAAAGCCTCAGGGGTGTGTTTTGCTTCTTAGCATTTTAGCAAAGTGTGTGTGTGTGTGTGTGTGTGCGCACCAGGCACTTGTGAATAAATGATACAGTCTTGGATCTTTATTTTGGAGCAGGTCGCTTGAATAAAACATCCATTGTTAGTCTGCATTTTAAATCTCTCTCTCCTCCTGACCTTTCTGTTGAGATCATTACATCCTGTGTGTGGATATCCACAGCTGATTTTCAATATGTGCAGGCTCCGAAATGTGATTGTGGACTTTTTTTCCTTTTTTTTGGAGGGGAGCTTTTTTCAGCAGCCGTCACGGTTCGTCAAATATCTTCGATTTCACTGCAGATGCAGAAACACAGGGAGACGCACAGAGCCAGAAGAAGAAGAAGAAGAAGGAAAAAGACGAGGGGGGGGATTGGAGAGAAACAGGATGAGACTGGGAGATGGAAGAAGAAGCGGTGACTCTGTCATCTACATTTAAATAGGATTTCTCTCAGACACAGGCAACAGGAACGTCTACAGAAATGGTGCTGACAGTTAATCCAGAGCTCGAAGAACCTGCTACAGACTCTAAATAAATCAGGCGTAGTGATGTCTTCCAGTTAGCTGAGTGTAGCCTATTTGCTTCTTGTTGCTTAATCTTTGTTGCTGCAGTGAGGACTGTGAACTTCCCCCCCTCCGGTCGAGCTGTTGTTGCTGTAACCTCTTCCTGTCTACCCAAAATGCCACTTGGTTTCTGGTTTGTGCCGTTACTGTGGGTTGACTTTTCACCCTCGCAGACACAAACATGCATTCAGCTGCGCAATCCAAATATCCCAACTTGTACAGAAACCTGGAAAAGTGCTAAATATATCCGCCCATGATTGCGTGTTTTGTGGCATTTATTCAGCGGGGAGTAACAGGAAATATTTCAGAGTGAGAGATGATATCTGTCGGTTGAGCAGTCATCATGAGTCAAATTTTGCAAGTGTGCTGCAACCACAGTACCCTGAGTGTTTGTTCAGTAGCACAACAACACCATCATGTGAACACCAGCTCCACCCTTCCTCATATCCATCAACACAGCGTGAGTGCCTCTCAGGTCATTTCTGCGTTCGGCCTTGCTGACCTTCTTTTCTTTACTAGAGAGGAATAAATCATCCCACTGGCTCCAGACCAGCTCTCTCAGCGTGGCGTGCTGGGTGATTCCTCTCTCTGCTGTCTCTTCTAGGTTCTGCAGTGTCATCAAGGCAGACACGCTGGTGAACGGGCGCTTGGCACCATCCCCTCTGCTCACTTCATCGGTTCTTATCCCTCACCTCGGGGGGGTCAAACTTTCATTTTCTCGCAGCCAAATGATGCCACTGATGAGCACAGCAGCTGCTCTAGCGGGCTTGACACTTCACCTCGCAAATATAGAGGCTGTAGTGAATAAGGATTAGCAGCTCTCAGGTGTATTTTACTGTCAGGTGGAATGTCCTGACTGTGGCCGCCAGTGTTCACGCCGCACATGGTTTGGATTCCAGCATCCAGCAGAGTTTAGTTCAGGCCTCTGTGTGCGGCTACTCTGCATCAGGTATTCCAGGAATGAGCCCTGTTGCCGCGCTCACCGCCTTGCATCATTAAAGAAGGCCTCCTCGCAAAGCTGAGGGGAAAGTCCCGTGACTCAGGTCCTTAGATGGATGTTGGGTATTAGCTCAGTGTTTTCTAAGCAGAAAGGCTTGGTATGCTTCAGTGCTTTCCAACCTCTTTGCCCCACGTAGTGCTTTTTTTAAACCCTCATTACAGGTTGCACGTGCGGCCACTTCAACCAGTAACTGAAGTAGTTGATGATTTACATGCAAATGGCAAAGATTAGGGAAAAAAAAAGTCAGGATAGATGTAGTGAAGCAGAAATGTGGTTTTCTGGCTTTTTATTCTTGTAATTATCTTGTAGTTGCTCAGATTTATTTTGTGGCCACTGGTCAAAGGAACATGTAAGTATGATCTAAGAATTAAGCTGCACAAGGAAGGATCTTAGATTTAACTTTTACTTAAAGCAAAAGCTCAACATTTTAGAGTCAGACACTCTCAGAAGAAGCTTAGGCAGCGTGATGACGACCAAAATGATAACAAATCGGTCTTTCTATGTTGTCCACAAACATTGGCATCAAACTGTGGCAGGTACATACGCACGGTCCATCTCCTAGGAGCAAAATATGAAAAGCAAAACAACAGAAGAGCTGCTTTTATTGTCACATTATGCAATACGGTGACACCCTGCATAGAGTTGCTGTTCTGGATATTTGAGTTGATGCAGGACAAGGACAGGGATTCAGTGAGATAACACCCCTGATGTTTTTCTACTTGGCCTTCATGCATTCATTGTACTGCTGCTGCTGGAGGAGCTTTTGTGCACAAACACAAGTCGTTCTTCTTAACATCGCTTAATCCAAGACCGGATCGTCCAACCACTTGATCGAGGCTCCAGCATCTCACCTTCTGCTGAAGACTTTTTTCCCAGCGTGCTCTTTGTTTGCATATTGCTCTTCTGCGCTGGACTGCAGCTGCAACACACAGTAAGGTTTTGCACAGCTGCATGACGGTTTCCTAAAAGTGAAGCCAAAACATCCGAATTTGTCCCTCGTGGATGGCTGTTAGTTTAGGAAGTACTTGATCTGATTTGTGTTTTCCATGACCACAGCATGCATTCAGATGATCAATATCACAGCTGATCATGTTCAGTGAAATGCAGGAAGTCATAATTATTCGATCAATTGTGCAGCCTGAAAAGATGCACATTCAAATGAGTGTACTTCCCTTGATTTTGCACTTGTTAGTCAACCCTGAGAAGAGAACTTTCCCTTTTTTCTTTGTTTCATCATAGCATGGTTCACCACTTACACTCTGGGGACACTTCAGGTTTTAGTTGCTTTGTTTTTAACCCTCATCAGCCAAAAAATGGAATCCAACATCTCAAAGATTTTTGATCCGCCAAGCTCATTTGTTGGAATTCTTCGCAGTCAGTGCATAAGAACGTGTATCGTAAGTACATACTGTCAATTTGGAACTAAAAATAAACATATAAATAAGTGAAAACAGCAGGGTCATTACATTAAAAATAAATGCCCATCTACTGGTCTGGTAATGAATACTGCTGGCGTGAGGAAGTGCAGTGCAGAAATGCAGGATGTGCTGAATTATACATCGTGCATTTGTTTGACTCGTTTGCTGTAATTGCCCTGCAAACACAATAGCGGGACGTCACACGCCATTCCTCGAGTGTCAGCGTTAGATTATCCAGCCTGCCCCTCTAAACACCGGCTGCTGAACGCACACAAATGGAAAGAAACGGCGAGAGTGCCAACAGGCCGCTGCATACGTGCACACACACACACACAGACACACAGACGGGCCAGTGGTGTTCATTAAGGCGCTTTGGCTTTACCACTCGCCTTGGCGCCGCTTGCTCTTCCGCACAGCTGAGTGGCCGAGAGGTCTGAAGTTTCCTCTGCGGCTCGGCTCGCCTGCTGGAGATGAAGGGAGATAGAGTGTATAAACCTCCTCCTCCTCCTCCTCCTCCTCAACCAACTTACCACGATTATTTACTGTTTCTGCTAGTGGCCTTCCAGCCTCAAGCCCCAGGGAGAGATGGGAAAT